AACGTCCAGAGTCGGTAGAGTGAAAGAGATTGCAAAAAGTCTGACGGGAAGTGGAACGGAATGCCTTTGGAACAGGTGGTGACACACACAGTGGGCCGGGATCGGCGCTCATTCCCGTGGTGGGCTGGTAGAACGCTCAATAGGGGAGCCTGTAGGTGCAGCAGCTTGTGGGGGGATCGCTTGTGGCCGAATGGGTGAGTGGGGTGATGGTGTAACAAGCATGGCTGGTAAACCCCAAGTTGGAGTGGGGTCGGGCTGTTGAAAGGGATGCAACTGAGTCGATATGGGAATGGATTGGATCGTGGGTGGGGGCTGAACGAGGTGGGTAGTAGGCATAGATCCCAGCTGAGGTGGCGAACTGGTAGGCGTCAAAGTCGAGGTGTACTGAAGAGGTGAGTGGATCATATGCGGTTGAAGCTGAGGGATTTGAAATGGCATTGTTGGCATCGATCCACAAGGAGCCGAAGGAGCCGTCAATGGTACAGCCTGGCCAAGAGGTCTGTAGGGCGCCGTGGTACTCGTCATCGGTGAAGTCTGAGGGATCCACTGGTAGTTCATGGCGCCCCGGTGAAAGGCAGGCAAAGCAAGGTAGTGAACATGATCGACCTATACATGTATGCGCCCGGCCTTGATTACCTAGCTGAATGACTGTGATATGCACATGCGTGAGATTCCAAACTGGAGTTGATCTCAGTAAGCCCTGCGGCATATAATCAGTGGTATCGAGCAGAACAGTCAAGCCTGTGAGGATCAAACGAAGTTCCGAGGTGGGAAGAAATCCACCAGGATCTGGGTCTATGCACATGCAGCGCCCCTCGACGGGGATCACACCACAGCCCTCAGTGGGACTCTGTGGCGATACACACGTAGATGGTTGCTCGCGAGAACTAGGATCAGTATGAAGTCCCACTTTACACGCATTAGACCTTGACTGAAAAAAGCGCAAAAGGAAAGGTGATGAGTCCGCAGATTTGAAGGTGTTTTAACAATGTTTTGCAACTCCTGATAGGCTAGGTGACAGCTTAAAAATTCCAGCGTGGTCAAAATTGGACTGAAGTGCCACTTTCTTTGCCACGGTCGCTTCTTTCTGTGTGGCTTCCCCCCCGGCTGTGGCAACTTGCAAATTCTTTTGTGGGGAAACTTCTTTCCATCCCCGGATGCAAAGCCCCGCACCCCAAGTCCCCGTTGGTGGGCCGGCTACGCAAACCTTCCCCTCACGACCCCTGGCGTTAACCAACGCTTCTAGCTTTACCGAGGTGCAGGCGCGCCCGTGCTCGACACCACTCCAAGGACATTCCACGACGCACAGTGGCCAGCAAGGACCTGTCGTTGCCTTGCCTGACGTGAGTGTTGGGCTCATGACCTGCGTTTCAGGTGTTCTCTACCCACCCACACAAGAACCTGCTGACTTCACCTTGGCAGCCCTCTAAAACTGTACATAGAAACGTCCAGAGTCGGTAGAGCGAAAGAGATTGCAAAAAGTCTGACGGGAAGTGGAACGGAAAGCCTTTAGAACAGGTGGTGACACACACGCACGCACACTTTGGCATTGTCCAGCAGATCAACTGGGCACATTTCGCGCAAGTCGTCATTATTCTGACCACAGATTTGCAGCGTTCAGGGCGTCTATGGATTCGGCGGCAGAGGGGCTATGGCCTCATCCTAAGCTCTTCTCGGTTGCGCAGGTTTCTCTTTAAAGTTGCGGGCCTTCATGTCGCAAAGCCCAAAAGCATCCAAAAGCACTAAAAAACGTGACCAAACTCGTGGTTCTGAGGTCCGTACTCTGACAAACTTTGCCTGCAAAGCCTCTGCAATTGGCAGATTTCGTCCCCAGAAAAGAATCGTCGCCGACATGAACGGAATGAACCACGCAATGTTCAGAATGTAGCAGCGCGCGCATATATTCTTTTTTAAACTGCTTGGAGTTTGCTGTTCACGACCGAGTATATTTGTGCCCGTGAAGCCTTCAAGCTTTCGCAGCGCTGCAGATGCAAGCGCATGAACCATTGTCATTGGCCGTTGCTGGAGCCAGCAGCCCCAGCGGTTTAACGAAGTCAATTGTAAGGGTTTCAGCAGGTTGCGGAAAACAAGATAAACATGTATCTTTCTTCCAAATGCAATCGGGCCGACTTCCATGCTGTCTGAGTGACCGAAGCGTCAGAGTGGAGACTGCCACAGAAGGTGAACAAGGACAAGGATTGATTGTGACATGTCCTGGTCATTTGAACCCACGGTAGAACCTGCAGAACACTCTATGCTTGCATTGTATAGGACGTTGTATTGAAGCACTTGGAGGGAAGCCAACGCCAGGAAAGATATTTGACGTCCTTTCACATTGATATCCGTTGAACAGTTTGTACTTTTCGCTGAGTTTGTTTGAAGCAGGCGATCAATAGTCAAGGAGTATCACGTTGTGAAGATACGTATCGCCATTGCTTTACCAGAGTGAACACTCACGATGCCAGTAATCTTTACCATGCCTAGGGCCTTGACTTCAGCAGAGGGCACTGACATAGAGTTGGACCTCATTAGTGACCTGGAAACCAGCCTCGCCAAATGAATGCCCCATTTTTCTTCAGAGTGGCTGAGCCGGGAGCCACATTTCAAGCCGTGAAGTCGGCTGCTCGTGCACCTTCCTGGTGAATAGCGTGTTTGTTTTTGAAGACTCCTTGACATGACACAATTGAACCAAGCTGTTTCGTTACAGCTGCCCTTTGAATCTCAAGAGCAGAGCGCTTGAAAAAGAGCGCTATCAGTGAAGCTTAGCGGAGGCGCTTTTTTCGTTTCGCTCGAAGGGTTGGCTCCTGGCACAAGCCAGGTTATGAGCCCAAAGCTTAGCGTCCTCCATGGCATTGCAGCACCGAAGGCGTAAAGCCACAGCCGAGGAGCTGGCCCAGGTTGAGAAAGACATGAAAGCCGCTCAAGAGCGGTTGGAGCGTGAGAGAAAGGAAAGCAGTGAACTCGCCCTCGAGAATGGTGGGGGTGAGGGTGGTGAATCTGGAAAGGATAGCCGTGAAGGTCGAATTCAACAGACCGCGTCGACCACTGCTGTCCCTCTCACTGAGGATGGCGCTTCTAAGGTGTCGGCATCGACGTCCAAGACACCGGAATCCAAAGCACCAAGGAGTGGAAAGGGCACTCCAGGGGCTTCGACTAAGGAAACACTTCAGGTCGCGAAGACACCGTCCAGACCTGACCAAGGCCTAGAAGAGGACAAGGGACTGGGGCGAACGGGAGGACAACAAGTGGCATTGGAGTCACGTGTCATTTCTACTCCGCCAGGTGAGCCCTCTCCACAATCCCTGATACCTTTGTTCTCGCAAGAGCGTTTCGCACTATGCACCAGCAAGCACCCTGGTTGTACGCAAATTTCGAAACACTGAACCAGTTTCCAGACACTCCACACGACCCTGTCCGAAGACCAGCCTTCCTTCCCGATGAAGAGGGAAAGGATGAAGGGCAAAAAAGTGAAGAAGTAAGCAAAGCCAAGCTGGTCCAAAGACAGGAAGAAAGAATCATGTTGGAAAGACTGGAAAGGGAAGAAATGAGCCGGCAGTTGAACCTGCTCGCCAAGGAGAATCAGAAGCTTCGAGAAGATCTTGCCTCCACTCAGAACTGGTCGACTTCCAGGGACGAAAGAGGCCGAAATGGAAGATGCTCGAAGGAAGCGTCTCGTTCAGCTGATGATGGAAGAAAATGTAAGGCTGAAAGAAGATCTCCGTCGTATATGGGACAGAAGATCGAAAAACAAGAGGATGATGCGACCTTTGCCACTCCGACTGGTAGCACTGAGGCCGATTGTCCGAAGGTCCCAAACGCCTGGCGTGACCCGGCAGCGGAAGAGAAGCCAGATGAACCGGCTCCTGCAAGCGAAGGAACTGGAAAAGGAAGGGGGACAAGAAAGAAGAAAGAAAACGAAAACCCTCAGGATACGCAGCAACAGACCTTGGCTGTCATCCTGAAGCTGGTTGAAGGCATGCAGGATCTCCAAAAGAAGGTCCTGAAGAGCCATAGGGATGAAGATTCAGCTGAAGCTGAACTGGTTCGCACTTCAGTGGAGCTTCCAAAGCTCCAAGAATGGAATGCCAAAACTTTGCCGATTGACTATGCTGACTGGTTGCTTTTGCTGTATCCCATCGTGGCTGACCTCTCCGCTACAAGTGAGATTGGTGGGAGGAGGTTGTTCGAGTTGCAAAGTTGTGGTATGAGACCCACATGTCACATGTCAAATTCACCTCTTGAAAGGTTGAGCCACAAGATTGTTCCAACACCAGCACTCAACCAGCGCAAGCGGGGTCGACTCGAGAAGCGTGCATCAGCTTTGTTGCTGGCTGCTATCCCAAGCCCCCTTCTTGAAGAAGTTGTTGCAGCAAAGAGTATTTCCACCTTGGGGCATCCTGGTTCGTGGCATGGAGTTGTACCAGCCAGGAGGCCTGGCTGAACGACAAGCCATTTTGAGTTCCTTGGAGTCTCCATCCGAGGCATCAACAGTTGGCGCTGGCTTGGTCACCTGCACAGGTGGATTCGATGGCGTCGACGAGCGGAAGAGCTTGGGGTTAGTGTTCCAGACCCGACCATTCTAGCCCGTGGCCTGAGTCGGTTGCTTCGCAAGCTGTTGTCCCTCAATCCTTTCGCCTCCAACTTGCTCGATCCTCTCTGATGATTGACTCAGCGCCGACTCACACTTCTTTTGGCCAATATGCTGAACATGTTATGGCAGAGCTCGAGCAGGTCAATCTTCAAAGCAGGAAGAAAGATGTACCACCTGCAGATGCACCAAAGCTCAAGAAGTTTGAAGAACGCAAAGAAAAGAAAGAAGGAAAAGAGAAAAAAGAAGATGATGAGAAAGAAAAGGAAAAGAGCCGCTGCAGGTTCTACCTTTCTGACCAAGGTTGCAGGAGGGAAAAGCCTGTTCCTACTCCCATGATGTGCGTGATGAAAAGCGAAGGTGCTGGAACTGTGGTGGCATCGATCACATGTCACCCGCCTGTACCCGTCCGAAGGACTCCATGGATCCGGTGCCAAAGCCGAAGATTGCAAAGGTTGACAAAGAAAAGAATGGAAGTCGAAAAGAAGAAGAACATGAAGGGCAGCAGCCCTCAATCAAGGATCTCCTCAAAGAGGCCAAAGAGATGTTGAAGACCATGAATGTGTCGTCACCGACCTCGTCTTCGACATCCACCACGCCAAAAGGAGGTGATCAAGAACGAAGTGAAATCACGGAGAAGCTGCGACAGCAGTTGAATGCATTGCGCCAGAAAGCTTTCAAGATCAGGCGCATGAAGAAAGGTGAAAGACAAGGCCTACTGGACTCGGGAGCGACGCACCCTTTGAGGCCATTGAACAAAGGAGAAGATGTGACAGGATTCCAAAAAGTCCAAGTGGCACTCGCCGATGGTCAGGTGATCAAGCTTCCCATTTCACCTGGGGCTCTATGGCGACCGAAGACCAAGATGTCGAGCCGATGCCCATGGGATTGCTCACGCAGCACTCCATTGTACGGTGGAGTGGAAGAAAGGCCAGTTGACTGTCCACCATCCTGATCGAGGCCTACTACCTGTGTCGGAGAAAAGATGGATGCCCTCAGCTACCTCGTGGATTAGTTTTGGAGCTGATCGAAGAGATCGAAGCTGTCAAGAAGGGCATGAAGTTTCAAGAAACAGAAACAGAAGCCTGGAAGCACACCCCGTCCTTTCAAGGCTCCCAAAGGAGGTGAAAGAAAGTCTGGTTGTGACTCCTGGATCATGGTCCTCACTCCCTGCAAATCGAAGAAAGCGAAAGGCTATGCGCCGTGATGGCTATGTATGCCATTTGTACGCTGGTCCTGACCAAGGCTTCGCAATGATGAGAGCATGGAAGCAGGCCGGTGGTGAAGAAAAAGAACTTCTCGAAATAGACCTAAGCGTGGCACGGAGCGCAACATGCTGTTGGACTCTGGCCCATACGCTGGACTGGTCAGGTCGGTGTGGGAGGGCAAGCTCTTGGCTCTGGTTGGAGGACCAAACTGCAGGACCAGGAGTGTTATGCGCCACATCCCTGTGGAATGGGAACAAGCCCCACGTCCTGTGCGCCGATGGAAATGATGAAGAGTTCGGCGTAAAAGATGCCACTCCTGAAGAAGAAAAGAAGGTGAAGGAAGATGATGTTTTGATGTGGAGGGTGGTGTTCCTGGCGATGTTGGATCACTACCTCAAGGAGGTTCGTGGCTCTGAAGAAAAAATGGGCGTTTGGATTGGAGCAGCCTGCTTCCCCACGATCCTACATGCCTGAAGTTGTCTCCTGGAGGGAGACTACCTTCCAGCAGCGACCCTTAGGAGGTGCGGCTGTCAAACCGACGACGATGGGAGGAAATCTGTCCTTTCATCCTGAAGACCATGAAGTGGGGATGTAATGGCAGGTCGAAGTCCGAGGCTCCTGGGATCTGGCCAGATGGCCACCTGGAATGATGTCGATGGTCGATGGTGACCAATGCAGTGATGACTAAAACTTTGAAGAGGACCCCAAAGGTCAAAGCTCTCTCCTGGAACGAACACATTGCTCTTGGCCATGTTCCACCACGACGTGACTGCCGAATCTGCCAGGAAACCAGACAAGCGTCCAGCATCACCGCGCAAGAAGGTGGAACACAAGTTGGCAGGAGTTCTGTCACTTGATACAGCTGGACCACTGAAGCCAGCCTATGACCACGGCATTTTGTCTCGCAATTTCCTTATCGGGACCTTCACTTGGGTTGTTCCGCTGAGCATCGAAGAAACCCCTCCAGCAGCTGATGAACCAAAGGAAGATGAACCCCAGGGGGAGTGGCCTGAAATTGAAGAAAAAGGAGAAGAAGAAGAAGAAGAACAAAGATTTGGGGGCCTCACTGACGCTGAGAAGGATGCAGGAGAAGACCTGTATCCAAGGCTTCAGGAACCCCATGAAGAAAAGGATCAAGATGATGAAAAGATCCATGAAGGAAATTATGCTGAAGCAGAAGAAGTGCCGAAGGACTTTCGCATTGAGGTCTACCGGGTGGCACTCCCAATGCACTCAAAGAAGTCGCGAGAAGTCACTCGCACAACCATGGAGATGATCACCAAGCTCCGAATGGATGGATTCAGTGTGAATCAAATTCATGCCGACCAAGGACATGAATTCGCTGGCCACTTTGCTGACTGGTGCTCCCGCCGAGGAACATTGCTCACGAAGACAGCCGGTGATGAACCTCAGTCAAATGGCCGAGCTGAGAACGCGGTCAAAGTCGTGAAGAACATGGTGAGAAAAATCCTGCGCAACGCGGGTGAAGATTCAAAATGGTGGCCTTGGGCAGTTCGATACTGCAACGAATTAAGTCTTTCGCATGAAGCGTCTTCGTGAACCAGTGGCCTTCCCTCCATTCATGCAGGAGGTGCTGACAAGGAAAAGGAGGTGGAAGAAGAGGGAGTTCGAACCGACCATGGATCGTGTTCGTTACCTGGGTCCATCGCCGGAAAACCATGGACACTGGATCATGAAGGAGGGAGAAACAGCTCGCCTCACGAGAAGCGTTTTCAAGAAGGTGGGAGAAATGCCTACGCCTGCTCACTGGATCGCCCTCGAAAGAGATCTCCTGGATGGGTTGACTTCGAGGAGACGCCTCCGCGAGAAGACCACCATCAAGAGAATTGAGGTCGAAACCAGTCAAGAGACAGGTGAGAAAAGAACCCAAAGGATCATCGATGATGAGATGAGAAAGGTCTTCGAAGAACCACCGGAATTGGCGCTCCTCACTATGATGGTGTTGGCTGAAGTCAAAAAGACTATTGAAGTGAAAGAAGATGATGATGAAGAGGTGCTTCAAACCAGGATAGTGTCACCAAAGGAGGTGGCCCGATGCTGGGACCAATGGAAGCAGCCATCCCAGGAGGAGGTGGATTCACTGATCGTGGAAAAAGAAGCCCTCCAACCGGTCAAAAGAGACCAATGGAAATGGTTTGTTTGAAGAAGCCAAAAAGAAAGGAATTCGCATCAAAATTCTGCCGTCCAAGCTTGTCTTCACCAGGAAGCCAAACAAGAAAGGCCATAAAAAGAAGGTCCGATGGGTCATTTGTGGAATTTTGAGTCGAAAGATGCAGGTGAAGAGACATTTTCAGCTGGAGCTGACTCAGCAGCCTTCCGAATCCTCATTTGGATGTGCTCCAAGTTTCAGTGGGAAGCATGTACGCTGGACGTCAAAACAGCGTTTTTGAACGCAAAGATGAACCAAAAGGAAGATGAACAGCTGATTTTGATTTTGCCTCCTGCCTTTTTCGCTGAACGTGGCTTCTTGGAAAGGGACACATATTTTGTCCCGCAGAAGGCTGTCTATGGCCTGCGACGATCTCCTCGGCTCTGGGGAGAACATAGAGATGAGACCCTTGAGAAGTTCATCATCGTGATCGATGAAGGAGAAGAAGCTCCCAAGAAGAAGGCTCAATTGATGGCCATGGATTCGGAGCCGAATCTCTGGAAGGTCGTCCCTTTTTCGGATGACCATGATGAAGAAAAAGAAGCTGATTTGCTGGGATTGGTCATGACTTATGTTGATGACATTTTTGTCGCTGGACCACATCATGTCGAAGAAAGCAGTTGCGCAGAAGATCCAGGTCCAGCCCACTTGGGTCACCTCAGCACCTGACCACATCACCAGCCGCCCAGTGAAGTTTTTGGGAATGGAAGTTAGCATGAGAGCTGAACTCTGAGTCTGGCCGCTATCGATGGATTCTGACTCAACAGTCTTATTTGGCCGACCTCCTCATGGAGGGGGAGAAAGACTCCAATGACCAGAGATCAATCCCTGATGCCAGATGACCAAGAAGAGCCCAGGATTGAAGAGATCCGAGCGGCCCAGAAAGTTGTTGGAGAAGTCCTATGGTCGGTGACGCGCTCAAGGCCAGATATCATGTTTGCTGCATCAAGAATGGGTGCCAGTGTGCTCAAAGGCACCAACTCCGTCATGACAGCAGCGCAACACCTGAAAGAATACCTCTGGCAGACGCGCGCCCAAGGACTGATCTATGAAGAAGAAGAGGAGACAGAGATCTCTGTCCAGGTGTTCACTGACGCCTCCTATGCTCCAAACTCAGAAGAGTCCCAGCGTCCAGCTCGGCGACTTGGCGATCTTGTGGAGGTCAGGTCGTCAGTCGACCATCACCCTCTCCACGGCAGAGGCCGAATTGAATGAGGTGATCGAAGGAATGATAGCAGGTGAAGCAGTCGGGGTGATTGCAGATGAACTGTTCGGCCCAGTCAGTCGAATGGCCTGGACTGATAGCCGTGCGAGGAAATTGAATTTAACACGCCATTTGCGGCTCCGGGCGGCCTTTGCCAGACAGGCCATCCAACAGCGCCTGTGGAACATCGGACATGTTCCTGGCGAACATATGGTCGCGGACATCGGAACCAAGGCCTTGACGTCAGGCCGTTTGGAAGAGTTGAAAATTAAGGAAGCTCAATATGGGAAGCCAACAGGCGATCCAAGATGAAGAAAAGAATGAAGAGGTGAAGTCAGAACCAAAAGAAGGGTTCGATGAAGAGGAAATCAAATCCCAAGGAGGAGGTGAAGAGAAGAAGAAAGCCGAAAAGGCCGCGATCGTGTTGAAGTTGCTGATGATCGCTGCGATGATGACTGGGGCGAAGGCCCAAAGAAGTGACGAAGAAGACGAGGGATGGTTGAATGTCGAAATGGTGATCGGCATATACACCCTGATCATCATCATCATCCTCACCATTCTCCTATGGGGATGCCTGAAGGAGCGAGTACTACCTCTCTGGACCCGCTCATCAAGTGATTGCGGAGCAGAGGTGGGAAGTGCTCCCTGGACACCCGTGAAGAAAGGAAAATGAAGATGATGAAAGGCTTGAAAGCCGAAGAAGATGAAGAACAAGAGAATGAGGAAGCAGAAGAACCGGTCCAAAGGCCGAGTGGTGTTCCATCACCACTCAATGCCTCAGGTGTCTTCACACTCCAACTCAGCTTCAGCGTCTCAGGCATCTTCACACTCCAACTCAGCCACAGTGCCTCTCGCCCTCACGAACTACCACAACTTCCTGAGAGGGACTGGGGAAGAATCAAAGAAGTGAGAGCAGTGAAACGAGATCCACCGGATCCACAAGGCGAAAGCTCCCAGCCTAGTGCTCCACCTCCTCCTGCCCAAAGAGGGAGCCGTGGACGCATGACACACGAACAGACTGGAAGAGCACAAGGCCAAGAAGAAGAAGAACGCCTGGCGCTCACGACGCGCTATGGGAAGGTATACCACCAAAATCGCAACTGCGATTACCTCAAAGCACCACGGACTGGAATCGCAAGACAGTCCGTCTGGTGTGAAGAATGTAAGGAGAAAGTGGGAATCCAGTCTGGCTTCAACATCTGGACTGCGGGATGGGGCGCTCCAGCCCATGTCACCCAGTTGAGAGGCGACCTGTTGAGATACACTCCCTGCACTCGCTGTGCAGGCCACTAGAGGGCAGTTTGAGCTTGAGCAGATCTTTGAAAGGTCTGTTTTTGATGGTGAGGACCTCATGCAAGGTCTGTTTTGACCATAGATGTTTCGGGCCCTGACGAGCTCGAAAAGGGGGAGTGAAGACTCCTTGACATGACACAAAGCACATGAACCAAGCTGTTTCGTCAAAGCTGCCCTTTGAATCTCAAGAGCAGAGCGCTTGAAAAAGAGCGCTATCAGTGAAGCTTAGCGGAGGTGTTTTTTTTGTTTCGCTCGAAGGGTTGGCTCCTGGCACAAGCCAGTTTTATATGTTATTTTTTTGAACATTGTTGTGCACAGCAATGTAGGAGTTCAAGCATACCAACACATACGCTACACAAACATCATTCCGAAACAAGGCGCCTGAACTACAATTGCCAGCAGTATATATACACATAGATATACGTGTACTCTCCTACAAAGCACTGCACCCCCAAGTAGCAAGGAGACAACGCCATCTGCCTCGAGTCACACGTGGCCTTGTCCTGTTCCCAATATTCCTGGGCACTCGTTTTGTGTTGTGGAGTGTAACCCAGCAAAATCGATGCTTGTTGCTTATATTGATCCACGTATTTGCTAGCTAGCGTGCACTCAAACAATGAGGTTTTACTAAAGAGAGAGCCTGGCCGCAACAACACAACATTGGCTGGGCATCAGAACTGTTGTGACTCCAGCAGGAGGTGGGCTACATTTGAGGAAGGGCAGCTACCTTTGGAATCTTTATGATGGCAGGCACAGCTGTTGGAATTGCGACAAAGACACGCAGTGCCACTAGCTTGCCGACTTGGTTTCTGAGACATGTTTCGCACTACTCATTCCAGGCCGACCGGATGTTCAAGAAGTCCGCGATTGCAGCAAGATATCCTGGGAGGCGTGGATGGTGTCAGACTGTCAAACTCTGTCCGCTCTAGACCTGGAGGCTGCTCTTTCGATTCTTGCACGTACTTGGGCCAAAAAGTGTTTGCTGGAGACTGGGCAAGCATTTGAGGATAGGTGATATGTGATATCAGTGAGCCTCCAAGCTGTGTGGAAGGGAGAGGCACCTTCATCCGTTGGAAGTCATGGCCTTCAGGAACGTTGAATGAAAGGAAATTGACTCCTGGAAGTCTATTCACTGCACACGAATGGTTCTGAGTTGGAGTGGTATTCCAAGGTGCAGCCCTCAAGGCTTAGATAACCTCCTTGACCTGACTTGAAAATGACTTGACCTTGAAGCGGAGGATACGAAGATGATTGGACCTGTTCTCAGTGCCTCTGCTCGTTCGCACCAGTGGAGGGTTGCCTTGGCCTTGCTGGGCATTCCGATGAAGTCCCCTCCGGGCGAAATCGCGTTCAACTCTGTTGTGACTCAGAGAAAGTTGGTGATTTTTGGTTTGACAGGGTGCGACTGAATATGGTCCTGAGGGATCCCTGATCTGTGCCTTTAAGGCGAATGCCTGCGAAAAATCGGGAGAGTGGCAGCAAACCATAGCCGTGGTGGCAACCATGTCTGACATTCGTTTGGCGACAGATTCGTTCTCTTATTGCACCATGATGAGTGCATTATGTAAAGGCCAGAAGTGGAAGGAGGTATTGCTTGTGTACAAGCAGTTGGAGGAAAAAGGGATTGAGAAGAACACAATTTTATGTGGCGCCGCCATCAACGCTTGTGCCAAAGGCCACCTGTGGAACATGGCCTCAAAGCTTTTGGCTTCCATGGCAGACGAACAGATCCAGCGAAGCTTGGTGACCTTCAGCTCGGTGATCTCTGCGTTCTCAGCGTCAGCATGTTGGACAAGGGCCCTGGAGATCCTCCAAGAGATGGAGAGGAAAAGCTTGGTTTACCCGGATCAAATCGCTTTCAGTGCTTTAATTGCTGCATGTGGCAATGCAAGCCAGTGGAAAGAGGCCGGACACATGTCCCGGCGCTGTCGCATGCTATGACTAGCGCTTGAACATCTGAAATTGATGTGTAGATATGTGTAGGGATTCAGGAATTTTGTTTGGCATCTTAAGGTTCTTTTCAATGACCCTGAGAGGCCCTGACACTTTTTCTCGAGATGACGTCCAGAGGCATGAGGAGCGATGCAGTTAGTGTTTGTGCAGTGATCAGTGCATGTGAAAAGGCCATGCAATGGGAGGCAGCCATTGACCTTCTGTGGTCTCAATCTCGAATTGGGGCCGATCTCAACTGTGCAAGCTATGCTGCCTGTATCTCTGCCTGCGCAAATGCGGGCGAATGGGTCCCTGCTTGTCAAATTTTGGAAGATTTGCTCGCATCAAAAGCAAAACTGGATGCATTTCCATTCAGCGCAGCCATCGCAGCTTGTTCTCGGCAGTGGGAGGTTGCGACTAGTATCTTGGAGGAGATGCCGCTGCATAGGGTAACGAAAGACAGTGTGTGTTACACTGCAGCCATCTCAACTTGTGCGAACAGCAACGAATGGAGAATTGCCTTGGAGCTACTTCGAAAAATGCTGGCTGAAGACCTGCAAGCAAATGCCTTCACCTACAGCGCAGCCATGAACGCCTGTGAGCTGACTGGACACTGGGAAGAAGCACTTGATTTGTTGCATGATATGCAGCACCGAAAGGTTCTTGAAGATGGCATGCATGTTGGTGCTGTGACAGGGGCGGTCTTGCGCCGATTGGGACGTGCTGCTGCAGTGGACTGTCTCACAGCCATTTGTGGAGACTCCGCCGAAAGTCGTGGAGACACAAGATCAGTGAACGTGAAATTGGAGCTTTGTGGGGTGAAAGTGATTTGCAATGCAGACGGCCTGGTTGCGGTGAGCAAGCCATCAGGCGTGCTGACAGAAGATGTGTTGCTTGATTAGCATTGTGCATTGTTGGTCCAACTACATCATATGCTGGAAAGTCGATTGAAAGTAGAGAGCGGTAAATTTGGTACGAAATGGTTTAGGTTGCATAGCATCAAAACTATGCCACTAGCGGCTATTTTCCTCTATATGTTTGCTAATTTCTCACCGGTACTGAACATGTCTCCATAACTTTAGGCTGGCTGATGCCATTCATCACTTTGGACCCGTGACGTGCATTTCTCGTTTGGATGCTCCAACATCTGGAGTGCTGCCCATTGCGATTGGTGCTGAGCAATGCAGCACGGCAAGATGGTTCAAGGCGCAGTTTGCAGCACATTTGGTCAAGAAGGAGTATCTTTGCCTGTGTCATGGGCCACATGAGCAAGCAGGGGCATCTTGAAGCATTGGATAGCATTTGATTGCATTGCATGCTTGAAGGTGCTTGATGTTCTATCAGATTCTATCACCTTTAAACTTTCTAGTTCTTCATGGTGCTGATGGGAGCTTCTTGGGTTCCCAAAAACTAAGGCAGAGGGCTCGATTACATCTCCCCTGCTGGTGATGGCAGGGTCCAAGGGGTCCAGCGCTCGCACTGTTTGTGATGAACGGGGGCAGGAAGCAATGACAGCCTACCAGGTTCTGGCGCGATACACTCTTCAGGAGCTTCCAGGTGATGTCAGTGAACCACGCGACGATATGATGTCGTACACACTCTTCTGGGCGATGCCACAAACAGGCAGAGGCTTGGGTTCAAGTCACGAGCATGAATAAGGGAGCAGGATGTTAAAATATGTTGACAAAACAAATAAGAGATAATAAGAGTCTATTAATCTAACAATGAGTTGAAGCACAAGTGACACGCTGTAAAAGTTCTGGATGCATGTTCAAGTCCTGGCATGCCAAGGAATGCATCAGATCAGGATTCACATGGCGAGCATTGGCCACCCGATTGTTGGAGATAGATCCTTGGCATGGCAGTCGAAGGTTGGTTTGTGCTGAGACCTCAAGACCTTTCAAGTCCTTTGAACATGCTTGAGACTCTTTGCAGTGGCTCATCTGGCAGAGGAATGTGATGCTTTTGTGTCCGTTAGTGGCATGGATTGCACAGCTTTTTGTTGAATTCTTCATTTTCTGATGCCCCGTGGCATGAGGGCAATATGGAATTTGTGTTCCTGCTTGGTGTCCTCGCCTGTTCCTTCACTGCCAACAGCTGGAGCTTCTTGAACGCAACAAGTGTTCTCTTTTTCCAGCAAAATCAGAAAGATTGGCGTCCGCTTCGTCCCCCACAACGATGGTCGTCCGCTTCGCTCATTTGCGAGGTCAACCAGGGTCCCAGAGGACCCGATCTGTTACCATGGACATCCATGGACACTTTGTTGCCGAACATGGTCAACACTTGCTTCTCACACACTTAGATCCATGCTCGCAAGAGCTATATCACTTATGACTTCCACGACGTGAAGCTAGCACTTTAGGTGAATACTTAGCGCTATTCTTGATTCAACGGCAAGAAGTGCTGGGTCGGTCAAACAGAATGTTTCAACAAGGACGCGGACGCGCTAGCACTGTACTCGAAAAGGAGAGTCACAGCGTAGTCAACTGTTCAAAAAGAAGGGAGAGTTAAAATTTGCAGGTACAGGAACGTGCGTCCACATTCCCTTCCGTCTGAATCCCATAGCTTCGCTGGCATGGCTAAGGGAACAGCTGCCACAGCTGCAAACCTAGAGGGATTAAGGTGGAATTGAGTTAATGTGGTTGTGGTTGTGCTCCTTAGGGACTGGAGTTGACACACACGCACACACACACACTTCGATAGAGGGCTCATTCAAGTAAGCTTCGGTGAGGTCAAGTGCTTGACTGTGTAGTTACCGCATGAACGGCAAGGTGAAGAGTCGGCTGATTTGGAGGTGTTTAACATCTGGTGAAAAACGCGCGGCGAATGTCGGCAAGATCAGCGCGGCTGCAAGTTCCAGTGGAAAGGTTTGGGGGGAAGGTAACATGAACCGCCATGGGAAAAACAAAGCAGCAGGGTGGACCAGTGGAGTCAGTGTGTTGTCGAGCAGTTACAGGAAGGTGATCAGCTTTCCCTTCCCATCATGACCGTAGCTTCGTTGAACACAGTGGGTCATGGATGCGTGTGCCCTCGCTAATGGTGGAAGACCCCTGGGAATCGGGTGTGGCGCGCACACACACCCGGAGCTTCCACTCCAACGCCCTCCCGCTTGAAAGTGGAAACTTGCCCGGTGAGGTTGTTGGACTGGCATGGGCAAGAGCTTCGAATTGAAGCGCCATTGCCAACAGAGCTTCGGGCAGTCCTGGAGCACCTTGAGACGAGCAGCGCAAAGTCTACTGTTAGCTACTGTTGGGAATGTGCAGTTCATTCGACTTCGGCTTCAGGTGGTGTTCAACAGAACTGCGTGCTTGCGCCTGTTTGTGCATAATGTTAGTGCATGTGTTTCAAGCGCAGTGTTCCGGCTGAAAGCCATGATGCAGCCAAGCAAAGAACAAGTCGCTTTGAAACCAATTTTCAGACTTTCAGTTGAGCAAAGATTTAGTTTTACATTTTGCCACATCTATCCATACTCGGCATGAGAGCTGCTCGATCAGGGGTGTCTTGGCAGCATGTCTCAGTTGCATATGAGGGCATGGGATTTGCCGCTAAGGTGCTTGTGTGCGCGGGCCTGGCATGTCTGCTAGGCACGGTGAGCCTTTGTGCTTAGACGGATCAGTCTTGGTGTGAGACTAAATTGCTTGGGGTTGACGGTTGACCCATGAATGAGGATGTCAAGAGTTGCCAACATACGGTCTTGGCGAGGCCATGCTTTCCTTCCTGGTCTGACATCAAACTGTAGCAGAGTTGCGCGAAGAGCAACTGAAAAGCGCCCTGGCGCTCCACAAGCGCAGGTTTCCTGTTCTGGAAGTTGAGGCTGAGGGTGATCAAGATTCCTGTTTTTCCCGAGAGCGCCTGCGAAGGGTTCTTCGTAAAAAATATCGGCAGAACTACGTCTCATCTACATCTTCACATCTTCACCTCTGCGCATCCACATTCTCACCTATATCTCTGCTCATCTTCACATCTACATTCACAACTGCGCATCTACATCTCTGCACATCTTCACATCCTCACATCGACATCTCTGCTCATCTTCATCTTCACACATCTACATCTCTGCTCATGTTCACATCTGCGCATCTACATCTCTGCTCATCTTCACATCCTCACATCTACATCTCACGTCTTTACCTCTCATCTACATCACATCTTCACCTCTCGCTCTTCTTAACTTTCTCTCTTAAGGGGGCAGTGCTGCCGGACCGCCACGAAACGCAACCCTCTGCGGAGATCGTGCGTGTCGAGGGCGCGAAACGCAGGCGAGAGTGCGATTTGACCCGGTCCGGAGCAACCCTCTGCGGAGATCGCGCGCGTCGGATGCGCGAAGTGCAGGCGAGAGTGCGATTTGTCCCGGTCCGGAGCAACCCTCTGCGGAGATCGTGCGTGTCGGATGCGCGAAATGCAGGCGAGAGTGCGATTTGCTCCGGTCCGGAGCAACCCTCTGCGGAGATCGTACGTGTCGAATGCGAGAGTGCGATTTGTCCCGGTCGCGGGCAACCCTCTGCGGCGATCGTGGGTGTCGGATGCGCGAAATGCAGGCGAGAGTGCGATTTGGTTTTGTCCGGCGCAACCCTCTGCGGAGATCGTGCGTGTCGAGGGCGCGAAATGCAGGCGAGAGGCGATTTGGCTTTGTCCGGCGCAACCTTCTGCAGAGATCGTGCGTGTCGAGTGCGCGAAATGCAGGCGAGAGTGCGATTTGTCCCGGTCGCGGGCAACCCTCTGCGGAGATCGCGCGTGTCGACTTTGTAGTAGTACAACTACGCGGAGCAATCTGTGGAGCTGGAAGCTGAGAACTGGTGACTTTGTAGTACAACTTGAGTGCACGGAGTATCTGGGGAGCTGGAAGATGAGAACTGGCGACTTTCTAGTACAACTTTAGTACGCGGAGTATCTGGGGAGCTGGAAGATGAGAACTGGCGACT